TCCATCCCTTTTGTAGGCGCCGCTTCCGCTTCCGGCCGCCATCTTGTGGTCGCTCGCATAAATTAGTTCCCTCCGCTGTTCATCTAATCAATTTAAATCTTTGTCCGCCCGTCTCGGGTATTAAAGCAAATTTGGGGGTCAGCAGCACGTTGCTACCATCAACCGGAATATTTACTGTCGGATTTTGCTTCCTTATTCTTTATGTTGTTTATACATTTACCCGTCGAGTTTATATTTGCCTTTTGTGTGTTTGCCTTTTCAGCATTTTTAATTCTTGGAACTCATTCCTGCGGCTTTGCCTGCTTGTGACAATCTCACCATCGCCCCCGCCCCCGCCCCCGCCCGTCATGTTATTTTCTTTATTTATTTACTTTACTTTGAGATTTTCCATAATTTTATGTCCCGCCACGACTGCTGCCCGGTGTATGTTCTATGTTATTCGTGTTGGAAAAATGTCCTTGCGGCCGTAAACGCCAAACGCCAACGCATCGAATAAAATGCAAATCGAAATCGCCACGACTTATTGCCGCCTGTTATTGTGTAAATTATTTTGGCTTCGGCTGTCGGATATTTGTTACATCCTCGACAGCATCCAGCGAGAGAAGGCGTGCGGCGTGCGGCAATTCTATTTTATACAATTTATATAGCTTTTTGTTTACAGCATCGCTTTGAGTTGGGTGAGCTCTCACTCCCACTTGGTTTTTTTAGAGGCGTTCCACCGCTGTCCACCGTTCAGGGGCGGGCGGTTTTTAGGAAAAGCAGGAAAAAAGGGGGTCGTGGAAAATATATCCTGAATAATCCAGTGGTAAGGTAATAGGGAGAAGTGAAGAGTTAGACTGAAAAACATTTGCTGACACATTTCTCTCGATTTCTTTTCCAGAAACAAAATGTTTAGCATTCAACTGACGTTCTGTTTGTAAACAAATAAATGCACTTCTCCTATTTCTGGGTTTGAGCAAAATCATGGCATAGTTTCGTAATTATATTTAAAGATTCATTAACATTCATTTGGGGGTCAAGCGACGTGATTAGCGTAATTTCATTTTAATAAGAAAACCCCGAGTAAATTAATTATAATATTCTGATCATGTCATTGAAACTTAGATGATTAATTAATTAATTAAAATTCGTATTATTATGATTAAAGTATTTATTTCATACTGCAAATGATTATTAAATGTCTCATTTGATTGCCTTGCTTCTATTATTACATCAGCAACAATATCTATTTTGCAACATGGCAAGAATTTCTATTTTGCGAATAAACTTTTTGCGGATTCAGGTCATTCAGGAAAACCCCTGTTGATTGGCATGAACAATACGTTATAATATGTGCGTATAACGCAAAATTGTGGCCAAGCTGTCAGAGAAATACCCACGCATTCAGAGCCAGAAAACAACTAAATAAATAGAAATACCAAAAGAATAAAGCAACAAATTCAAATTTTCTCATATATATAAATTCCGGGATAAAAACGCTCTTATGTCCTCATAAAGTCAACTTAGAAATGTGTTTCCATTTCCAATATTTGGTTTAAAACCCAATCAAAGCTTTTACCTAATACTTTCCAGAATTTCCGTATTTACCTTAGCAACAAGAATTTCGCGAATATTTGTTTTTCCTTCAATTTTCACATATCTTTCTTTATTTTCTATTCACTTTGCTCAGTTTACAATACTTTTACATACGCTTTCGCTTCGCTTGCCAAAAAAAATCCCTTGTTTTTATACTTTTTTAGCTTTATTATTTATGGCCTCAGATATTCGCGAAATATGCAGCGATAAATTGTTTTATTTAATTGAAAAACATGCCAAACGATGGAAGTTTTATGGCTGTGGAGCATCAACCCTTGATACACTTTCGTGGAAACCAATGCAAATAATGAAATGCATATTTCAAAAGAATTCTGTTTGATTTTAATTGGTTTCTATCAAGTGTTTCAAGTTGAATAATTTTTATTAGAAATGTTAAAATTTGGTACTTGCTGTAAATTTAAGCATGAGTGATTTTACAAATTTAGTTTTACTCATAATTAAAGCTGATCCGCCAAATCTTATCGCTGCATTAATAATTCACAGTAATTCATTGCTTCCTCCGCCACTCAGCAGCCACACCCTCTCCGTCGCAGTTTTCCTTCCCTGATTTGCATTTGGCCTGACTTTTCCAAGCTTTTCCCCTAATTATGCAGTTTGTTGCAGTTCCACCCACTTCCTGCAGCTGCTGGGAGGGGGAAACTTTTGCGACTGGCACTTTGCCTTTATTAGGTATCAGGTCTCCGCCCATCCCCCGAAAATGCGATGAAAAACGTTGGCACATTATGAAATATTTGCTGCGCATTTCCACTGGCCGTTTTGGTGGCTAGAAATCCGGAGGCGTTAGCTGCGGAAACACTAACGAGAAAAGTCGGTCACATGGCACTAGTTTTATTGCAAACTTTTCCTACAATTATAATTTCTAATTCATAAAATGAATTTTCCTCTTTAAGCCCCTGAGTCCATCTGAGAGGCTATTAACCTATTCATATAATCTTTTCATTTTAGTTTCAAATGAATTTTGTAAGCTAGTGTAATTTCCGGTGTCGTGGGCAAACAACATTGTGATATATCTACATTTTTGCGGCGCATCCTTGGGAGACCCGGCATCATTTAGGCGGATTTTTTCGTAATTTCGGGTCCTGCACTGCAGGTCCTGCCATCGCCTAATTGTCGTAGGCGTACAGAGGATAGCCTCCGCCAGCAGCATTACAAATTCAATTTGGCCAAAATCAACAACAGAACGGAGGGCACTGTGAAAGCGGACGACTGCCTGTGGGGCGACAGACGATGTCTTAAAGGATTAAACAAGTAGCAGCAAAAGTGATTGTCATGCGCCAGGAACATGGCAGGCGACACTTTCTACAGTCTCCAGTCTCACTTTGGGGTAGCAGCAGCAGCAGGAGCAGCAGCAGGAGCAGCTTTTTGGCTCATTTGCATAAAGGGAACCGGCCATAAATTCAGGACACAGACACAGACGGGTCGGCACTCGTCTGAGCCGCCGCCAGAATCTCCGAATCTCTGAATCTCTGGGTGTTTGCCTGACAAATGGCCAGCTATTTGAGGCTAGGTAAAAGACTAGGATCTACAGGCTACAGATTGGCAGCTGTTTTTGGGTTTAGTTTAACCTTGAAGAAAGTCTTTATTTGTGGCTACATTTAATTCACCTCTTGCTGGGTTTTATTATAGCATTTTTAAGGGTTAGTAGAGGGTGACATTAACCTATCAGCTTTTAAAACAGAATTTAAGGCTTGGGTTTGATTAAAGTAAGTTGAAGCAATTGATTACGGCTAAACTTTATATTTAATACCTATGTAAACATATTTGTATTGTCTTTTAAGTGCTAAGAACACTTCATTTTAATCAGTGTGTTATAAATTACACTGAACTTTAAACAAAATTAATCTAACCACCCATTAAAAATTACCCATAAATTTTAGTTTGTCTAATCTATGAATTACTTGCTCTCTCAACTAAATTATCCTTACAAAAACAATGATTTACAACTATCAAGTAGACACATAAATAAAGGGATACACTCTCGGGACACGCATTAACCCAGGACACAAGCATACATTTAGTATTTAGCTAGAAAAAAAGGACCATACCGTTGCCGTGGCATTATTAAACTTGACATGGCCACAACTCTTTATTCATAACTAAAAGTTTCTTTTCTAATCTGTGAACTACTTTACCCCCTCAGTAGTAGCTCAAACGATGATTTATACATGTCACTGGCTGACTACTTCGCAGTATTACGCATACGCCACGTGGCCAACGACAGTGCATAAATTAGTTGAAGCCATTACCATTACTCCAGGTGCTCCTGGGACCCATATCCGTATACCTTCCATGTCCTTGCGCGACCAAGACGCCATCTGTTGTCGCAATTTGAATTGACCTTAACCTCGCCTCAAGCAAGAAAACTGGAAAAACGACAAGTGAAAAGCGAAACGCGAAAAAAAGGAAACTCCTGACAACTGCGAAATAGGATGTAAGAAAGAAAATCCATCAAAACATAAACAAAGTCCAGCGAGAACAGCTGATGGCGTGCCAAGAACAGCTGTTCTCACAGGACGCCTGCGCGAAAGAATGGCAATTAAGAGAGTCCCTCCCAGAGCTAAGAGAGTCTGCAAATGTGTTTGCTTACGAGTCCTGACTTTGCACAAAAACTGTCTTTGGTGGAACGCAAGGACATGGTCCACAGGAAGCAGTTGGCAACGCAGCAGTAACTGACAGTTAACTGCGGCTGCTGCTGCTGCTCCTTCGGTCTGAGTTGCTGCCCCTTTGAACACACAGTCTTCATTCTCGCTCGGTGGCGTTCGCATCGTCGTCGCTTCTACGGTTCGTTCCCAATCAAAATCAAACATAATCCTCTGCCGAACCTAAAACTGACTACGAGTTTTCCGATTTTCACTGCAGTCGTGTCAGTTGCGTTTTGCGTTCCGTGCGATGCGGCTGCGTTATTAGCTAGCATTTTCCAGTGATTTAGCTAATTAATAAAAATCTTTAAAAAATATATTTTTATTATAAATAAACTGGTGCTTATATTTTAGTAAGAAAAATAATTCGAAAAATAAATACTATTTGGACTTTAAACTTATTTTTAAAGTTAGTTGTTGAATATTTTTCAATGATAAAGTGATACAAGAGTTCATTACCAAGTGTCATGATCTAGAAATTGTCAATTAATTTATGATTTCTAGATGCTTTAATGTTTTGTAAAATACCTTTTATTTTTAATATTTTTTATTCTCTTATCTAATATTTTTTTCATTAAAAGTTAAAAAAAGAACTTGTTCATATAGAGTATTTTGAATAAAAAGATTGATGGTACTTATAATTAAAGAATGATATCTAAATAATACTTCGATACCCCGATTTTATCTTAAAAAAAAAAACATCAAGAAATTTAAATATTTAAATAATAACCAATTTCTAAACTCTATTTTCTTAGTCTTTAAACACTTTCTTCAACTAACATATTGACGCTCTCAACCTACAAAACAAAGTGTTAAATGGAAACCAAATAAAACGATAATGAACTCAAAATATATCAAATAATTGTGCAAAACGCCTGCCAAAATGCAGGCATTGTGTGTGAAATTACGCAAATAAATATTAACCGAAAAACTGAACAGATTGAAATCATTATAATAATGCATCATCAGCCGAGGGCAAATGTTTGCCGAACAGCTGCTTGAATAATTTGCCATAAATCAACGATAGGACAACACTTTGGACCCTAGTTTTGCAGTAAGTGTCAACCGCTTGAATTATTTGTGAGACAATAAATTACCCAACCTACATATATCTGCGCAGTGCTATAAATATGCGAGGGTCTCTGGAGAGCATTCAAGTGCTTTTTATTTGTAAATAATTAAATGGGGCATTGGGAGTTCAGGCCAATTTTGCAGAAATCAAACCTGATCAAGTGGCACTCATAAATTTGAAGAGATTTAAAGCTGCTTCCGAAGGCTCTTGGACATGAGAGTAATTGAACTCTTATCAATACAATTGCAGTTGAGTTAAAGAAGCGCATTTTCTTTAGGATTTTCCGGGAATTTATCAACCTTCTCGTCAATTGGGCACTCCGATAGCTTGCTCGTCTTTGTCACTTTTTTTTTTTCAACGGAAAATTAATGGAGTGTTGAGGCATTTTCTCCGCTTAACACTTATTCCTCAAGTGGAAGTTCCCAGATTTTGACAAAGAGCACAGGCAGCATCACAGAGATGCCAAGGGTTCAAATACTCAAAGCTATTCGGTATACACCCACGAAAAAGGGAACCCTTCAAGGATGGCTCGAGCCTCGAGCTATCCTTTTTGGCAGTCCATTGTCCCTGTGATTTCTCTATCATTGGAATTCTAAGCGAAAGATAAAGAAAGGCGGACAAAAAGTGACTTTGCCCTGGCCCTGAAACAATGCAAACAATCACCAAAATGGCACTAGGCAAATACAAGAGCTGACCGCTTGCACGTGACAGCGCAGGACAATGAAAGGGAATGGCAAACAGCCCAGAAAAATAAGTGTCGCAGCGAGAAAAATTATGTATACAGCAAGGTCCTTGAATCAATGGCCAGAAAATATGTTGAGCTAAAGTAAATATTAATTGTCGGGGGGGTTAGAAGTAAGCACTCGAGAAAGTCGCTTAGATTTTAGCAACAATTTTATATCTAAAATGTTCAAATTACCTATGTTGATTTACTTTAATGCAGCGTAAATAATTTCAAACCAAACCAGCTTAATATAGCATAAATCCATCGTTCAATTTGTATGTTTGCTATATTTTTCAAGGACGTGCTTAGTCTCCCTATGGCATCACATTTAAAAAAATTAATCCCTCATCGCTATAAGCTCTTCATGCTATTACATATCGAAAATCAAATCCAAATACGTTACAGAAATAAAAGAAGAAAAAAAAACAGAATATGCGATGTGGAAAGCTATGCCATTGTATTGAGTTCGACGAAATCTGCGAAAAGTTGTGAATGCCAAAAGAAAGCTCTTCCGCAAAGTAAACAATTTTCCGAGAATAGATTTTTGCACTCGCTCCCGACACAGATTGTTAAAAAATTGGTATGTTTTTTATGCCGAGCATCAAGGTTTTACAGGGATATATTATCACTGCCTACAAGGCCTTCTTCATAGCCGAAAAAAAGAAACTAATCAAAAAGGAAAACAAAGTCATCTGTCAATTTGCAGAGAAAACAAATAAGTAAAAAATACAAACAAATTTAATTAAAGGCGGCTCCATGACGCACTCAATATGTCGGTCTATCCGTGTGGATGACTTTGCGGCGCGGAGGAAATGAAAACTTATCAAAGTTTCAGCTTTGGTTTACTTTCACTTCCTCCTGTTATTATGGGATAAGATTTTAATCAAAAATCAGTTAAAACTTTCGCCAACTCGGTGGAAACTGCTTCGTCAAAGTTGTTAAGACACTCTTTTGCTAGTCCTGTTTCTCCTTATTTATTTATTTTTTTTTTGCCCGTAATTTTCTCTATAAATTATAAATTATTTTCCAACTCACCAGGCGGCAGAGACTTTTTTCTCCAAAACAGCCAAAACACTGGGCCAAAAATTGTTGTCTAATTTGCATAACGCCGGTGTTGGCGTCGGCCTATGCGGCGTATGCGTAATAATGATCGAAATCAAGTCTGACGATTTGCCTTATTGACTTTGCTGATATTACTTTATTTGCGCAGTCAAATTTTCAGCTCAGATTTCCCTCGGCTTATTTCCTATTGAATTTCATATGGTTGAATGAGAGTGAGTGTAAGTGTAGGTGTTGTGCGTTCTTGTTGTTGTTATTTTCGCCTTTGTTTCATGCACGCACAAATATTTCCTTGACGGCTTTCCCCTCTCGTGTTTGAGTTCGTAATTTGAGTTGATTTGTGATAAGCGTGGGCTGCTGATTTCGATTGTTTTTGCCTCCCATTTCCATTGAATTCTTTGTCGGATTTTTCTAGGTTTTTTTTTCTTATTTCGTGGGTTGACCTGCCTTGACATTGTTGTGGGAGTGGGAGTGTGTGTGTTTGCCTAGTTGTAAGCTATGCTTATTTTTTATGCTCGTTTGCCGTGATTGGAGTGAATATGTGGGGAGGGGTCGTACTTGTGTTTAGGGGTTTGTGCTTCGCATCAGATTTGTATGAAAATGATATGCCAAAAATACCAACAAAACAAATCCCCCGCACGTAATGCCAATTACATTAAAATTACTTTCAGCGTTCGTTGCCAGAAGCATTTAAGATATGGCAAACCAATTGAAACATTAAATTTGGGGCCATGTTTTCCTTAAATATTTGATATGCAAACAACAGCCTTAAGCCAAGGATTTTATAGGTGATAAGATTTGGCCGAAGCCTTGGGCTTGGATATCTCATTCATAAACCAAGGCTATGTTGAAATCCCATTAAGAGAAGAAACCCTGAAGAAGCACTTAAGATTGTCAGAACCAATTAAAACATTAAATTTGTAAAGAAATGTTTCCCTTCAGGGACTGACAGCAAAAGAAAGAGTGTAACTTTATTTCAAAATTAAATGATTTCACATTCAGAAAGGGAAAAAAAGGGTAAAGGAAGAGAGTAATTTAATTTAAAGATTGAGTTAAGAGCTTCCTATCAGAAGCTACAAATTAAATGGCTTTTACGACTTGGGACATTCTTAGGTCGTTGACATTTACAAAATTTATTGTGTTTAGTATTCCTAATTAGGGTTTGCTAGCTAAATAAATGTTTGTTTCTTACTTAAAAAGAAAGAATATGTAGTCCCTAAAAATAATATTAATTACTTGTGAAATTTTGTCAGGAGTTAACATTGTTTCAGTAAAACTATTCAATATTTAAAGCACTTTAACTGGTTAAGAGTTTCAAATAAAGTTCTCTCTTTAAGTTTATATAAAGTTAATATCCAGACAGCGAGCAATTTAAAATTTATTATATGCATTTGTTTTTCAAATTACATTTCCATAATAATATTTATATTTATATTCAATAAAAAAATCTCCAATCAAAAGCAAAATGAAAATCATACAGCTTAGGAAAACTCCAAATAAATTCTTAGCACGTTTCCATTAAATTTCTATACACATATTTTTTAGTGTTGTTTTAAAATCAACTATATATAATCCCTTAAAGCTACATATTTCACAGCTGATAAGTGTCTCACATCCCGAAATGCACTGTCCTGGCAATCGAAAAAACCATTTGAAAAACTTGAACTGCAACTGCCAGTTATCCGCCCACCCAATTGCCTTGAAGCGTAAAAAGCCAGGCATAGAAAAGTTGACTCCTGTTTCGGACTTTTTCAGCCAACAACAATTTATTAACACAACACAAAAAAATAAAAACAAAACAAAAAAAGAGTGGAAACTTTTACCAACAACAGCGAGATTGTGACAAAAATTGTTCATGGCGAACACTTGAGGCGCTTTACAACATCAGCAGAACCCGGGAACGCCGGAATATTCGCGATTTAAGTTGGCATCATAAATTCAAAAAAAGCCAACGGAAAAAATAACAAGAGGACGACGACTCCTGCATAATTTATGAGCACTGGAGTAGAGCGAGGCTGCAAAGCATTATAGGAAAATGCAAACAAATTCGTTCAAAGCCAGAAAAAAACTGCCTAAAAAAATGGCGAAAAACTGTGATTATGATTTGCGACAATGCTCTGAGCTGCCACTAATTGTTAAATGTGGTAAGTGCTTAGCGAAAAATAAACAATGCTGCGATCTTTGCTTAAAATCTTAATGAAACAAACACATGTCCTACTAAAAGAGATTTTAAAGGAATACTAACATTTATTGAAACTCAAATACCAATTCAAAATCACAAATTTAACTACTTAAAGCAAGTTAAAAGCTACCAATTAAACAATTATACAAGACAACAAGTACAATAAATAAAATCCAACAGAAATACATAAGAAATATAATTGCTTCATTAAGTTTTCATAGGAAATGCCTCGCTCGAATCTTCTTTGGAATGATAAATATTCAACCAACTTTCTTTACTTTTATTAATAAATCCTGGGCAAAACTATGTTAAATCTTGCCAAGTTACATAAGAAATAAAATGGAATTCAAGAAAACCAAACAAAATTAGCAAACTTTCGTTTAAACTACTTCAAAGGAACATAGAGGGAGAAAAACTTTAAGGAATCCCCAGCTGGCAGTGCGGGTTGATAGAGAATAAAATGAATTGAAAAGGACATGACCATGGGCACCTTAATGAAGCTGCTGCGTCAGCAGAGCCGCAACATTTGGCAACAGCGAATGGCCATTAAAGTCCCTGGAATGTGTCCAATGAATTTAACAGTATGCCGAAATCATTTCGTCCTGGGTTTTTCTCTTTTTTTTTTTTCTTTTCCGCCCTCCTCATCACAGTTTCATGAGAGGAAAGTCGTCCTGGCAGAAGGTGCCCCGGCATTAAGTGCTCCCATTAGTTGCCGTTGCTGCTGATTATAGAATATCCACGGGATCTGCTTCCCTGACCCACTCCTTCTCAACATCAAGTGTCGCCGTAATAGTTGCCTTTATGACAGGACAATTTGGCACTTGGCCAACTCGAAAGGGTTTCCTTTTGGCCACCGAAAATTTCTAGGAATAACCCCCCTTTTGCTAACTGCTTTCGGATAGCATAAATGTCGCTGTTGCCGCAGCGTAAAAAAAAGGGGACATGGAAGAGCGGAATCCATTTAAATTACATTTCAATGTACGGCTACGACTACAGCAATGGTTAAGTACTTTCATG